AAAGTTGAAATTTACAATGGTGGTACCTTTTTGTATATAACTAATGGTAGAAGCTACTGATTCAGTTTTTTCTACCCATCCGTTTGGTATCTCATATGTTAAAAGTCCACAGGGACCAATAGCTTTCTCGGGAACCGGAGTTCGGGAATCTAAAAAGGATCTTGACTGCGACTAGTATCAACCCTAACTGATATTACAGCTGCTGCGGGCTGCTACAATCCCTCTCACTACTCCTCAATGCGGGTTTGAAATGCGGGTTTGAAAAGCTTCCTCTAGCGTCAGGCTCATCTTATAAGTAAGCTTGCTCCTCATACAAGCTCCCTTCTGGCACAAGCTTCCTCCTTAAACTACCGCTCTTGAGGCAAGCTCCCACCCTGAACGGTTCACTCCCTTCCGCCCCCTCCCCCTCCCCCTCCCTGAACCAACGCTCTCTCTGCATACACTCGGCAACTTTATACGAGATATTCATATCTCTATCTATCTCGAAAATATTTTCTGCGAAAATTAACGGAAAAAAATACATAAACGGATCATACGATGCCGGCTAACGGAACTCTTTCTTTATCGACCTCCAGTATCCTCGAAGCTCGTACAGCCTACCTTCAAACTGTTCGAACTGAGGGCTACAAACTCCATAACCAGCTCTTCCTGCGTGTATATCTCATCAAAGATCTCCTCATTCTGATCGACAACTCACTTGCCTGGTTCACTCAGCAAGGGTTAGAAGTGCCGAGCCCCCCCCAGAACCAAGTCAACTGTATGCAAAAGCTTTTCGTGGATGTGATGGGACTTTTTGACATTACTCAAACGTTCATTACTCTTAACTTTGTACCAGGATTCGAGCAATGGGACGCTCTCAATACACTTAGGTCCCGGATCGAACCGTATGTGGGCCGTAATGACTGGAGGGCGCTGGGACCTATCTGGATTGAGATGGAAAAATGGAGGGACCTTGCAACTGAGGTCTTTGAGATGGGAGGAGATATGCTTGAGAATGTTGCAGAGCTTATAAACCGGGTTGACTCTATTTGCGCTTATGAGGGAATCATTATCGGAGTCGGTAGTATATGGGCTTCATTTTAAAGGTGAACTGTCGGAAGTATGTTCATAAGCTCTTCTATCATTGTGAGAACGTTGGTAGCTGACAGCTTCTGGTGGATAGTTTTAAAGGAGGATCGTTGGGTGTGTGTATGAGCACCTTTAATACTTTGAGAAAATTAATGACTGACAGACTCAGGTGGACAGTGGCCTTACCTTCCTTCCTTTCTTTATTTTTCCCTTCCTCTCTTCTCTTTTTCTCTGGGTGCGGGTTGCTATCTTATTTTTGCGAAAGTTTTTCTTCCTTTGTTATGCTTGTACTATTTGACAAAAATGTCCTGGGTATCGCCGGTGTAAGCCTTTTTCTGATTGTGGCCGGGAGCATTGTCATTTGAGTATTTACATACCTGAATTGAAAAGTAGCGCAGTTCCAACATTGCAGCTACGGGTTGGTTTGTCTACTACAGATACTACCCCTTTCGTGATTGCTGTGCCTGAAGTAGTTTTTTTGCTCGGCAAGATGGAGGGGGGGGAACCCCCTTATATAGTCTGCTTACCTATACGGGTACCGGGAGGGGCAAAGCAATATACAATATTCAATATGCCGTGCCAACTAGAGGAACTGGTATTATAGTAACCGACAGAAAACACAAGTAGATAATTATTTGAGGCGATAGGAATAACTACGGGAAGAGTTACAGGTCGTCTATTTATGAACATGCTCGGAGTTATCATACTGCCCCATCCTTTAATCTGTATACCTATTTCGCAGCTTTTTAGCCTGGCCAATTGCCCTGGTCAACTTGCGCATTCCAAAAGTATCCGGATGTCTTGGTGCGGCCTTCGACTGGAGAAGAAGAATCCTTTAACCAGCATGTTTCCCACCAAAAGAATTTGTAAAATCAAAAATACCTAAGGTTCCTGAACAATTTAACTGTAGTTTCTCTAAATACTACAATAGGGAATAGGCTGGAGGTTCAGAAAATTAAAAAATAATTCCAAAGTATTAACCTCTAGGCGAGCTATAGGGGTTTAAAGTGCCATAATGTGCTCCGGTTTAAGGTTTCTCACAACGACCGAAACTGCGCCAAGATATCCGGATACTTTTGGAATGCGCAGGTACTGTAGTATTCCCGTTGGGTTCGTGCTGTGACCCCACCCGTGAAAAATAAAAAAAACATCCACACAATTGCCACACTTGTACTATTCTCTATCTCGGAATACTCCCGGGAACTAAAAGGCATTGAATAAAGACAAAGGGACAACGCCGCCCTAAAACCACTCCGATCCGTAAGCTAACAAAGAACATATGAGCCACTATTCCCTTCCTCTCCCACGATGCGACGGATGGTGAACTGACCACACACCGAACACGGCCCACAGCCGACCCGATGTTCTATCATAGCATGGTTAACCTTTAATTTTCACAAGATACTTTCAAAAAATAAGGAAAGAAACTTTCTCTCTTTCTCTCTCTTTCAGATATGAGGAACTATAGTGATAAATCAGGTGAGTTATGGTTACTTCTGATTTCTCTTTATGTCACTATCACCCGTAGGTTTCTTTGTTCGTTACGGGCTATGATTATTGGCCAGCTAGCCTCTCTGAAAAACTGACGAGGCTAGATAACTGTTCTCTTAACGGAATAATACTAGTAACCACTTCCGGTTGGTTTGACGGTCAGAAAGGTTAGTCTTACGGGTCCCTTTCATGTTGTGTGGTGTGGGTCTGACTGACAAAGCAACTGTCAATATGGTAGTATAATGGGTTATAGAATGAATACGGTTAGTGGTACAGTTGGGCGTTGTGGCCCTCCATTGTCCCTGATGGCTCGCCCGAATATGTAGTTATAGTATTTATATTGCTACCTCCGGTGGTGAGCACATCCCCATCAGCTACCACCAAAAATCCCATGGTATTGTTGCAGTACCCTCGATCGGAATATCACTTCTTAAGTGGTCTTAAGATAGGTACAGTATTCTAGGTATCTTGCCGCGTTTTCGCTTCATAGTATGGGGAGTTCGACCTTAATATCTTTTCACTTTCAATATTATTCAGCTTGAGGAATTAGAAAGTAGGGGTTTTAAAAACATGGTATACTTATAGTTAAAACCCCGGACCAGTCTGTACTTAAGTTACTTGTTACCAGCACAGCCGCATTGTTGTTTGCATCCCTACAGAGTACTGAACCTACAGGACGGGCTAGAGAGATCATCAAACATAAAACAGTCAGGAATCCTTTAGGACTCATTACCACAGAAAGAATGTCTGACGAATATAACCAGAACAGTAATATATCAGCTACTGTCCAGCAGCAGCAAGAGCAACGGGGGACTATTTCAACCCCCAGCTCTGCACAGGATCGCGCTCAATACCTCCTAAAGTTGCATGCGCAAGCAATGATCCTCTACCGCGAGCTCTCTAAGCGCGTTATGTTCCTAGATGACTATTTTGACTACGCCCTATACCTTATAGAAACCAATCCCGATCCGTGGGGGAGAGTGATGAACTCCGGCCAGAAACTCCTTGACAACATCCTCGATCTTGACCGCTCTGCAGGGATATTGGTCGATCTGAATCTTGAGCCGGGGTTTGAGGATTCGGAGAAACTGGACGCCGTTGAGCTCGTGACAGGAGAACTTGTTTGTCAGACTAGGTGGATGTATTTGGGGAGAGATTGTCGAGAGGTTCAGGCTTGGGTGGATGAGGCGAAGGGGTTGCTTGAGGGCGGGAAGCGAGCCATGGTGTTGGTTGAGGAGACTATTGCGAAGGTGGAGAGTCAGGCAAGAGATGAGGGGGTTGTTATTGGGGAAATTCCCTAATGGATAATTTTGCGGATGGGCTCGCGGACTTGGCGGTGGTTTGGGTGTTATCTTGCATGGCTAATCTGGTTCAGTGTAGAGGCTCTTGAGAGAGTCCTAACTTCAGAGCCCATTTGTTATATGTTTCTTATTATATGAGTGTCTGTTGATCTATTTGTGGTGGGGATAAAGGTTAGGTATATTATCATGAGACATACGGAATAAATGTGAGTCGGATGGTTATCTATCATAATCTCATTAGGGGAATTGTGTGACATGGAACGCCCATCACACGAGTTACTCATTGTGATAAAAGTTCAACTTCCATCCTTGTAGAGTATCAATTTTCCCCCTGATAATTGCTAATTACATGTATCTCCAATCACAAACTTGTAAAGCACCACATGAAAATATCCCAGAAGGCTATACTCAGAAGGAATTGTGCTCCTATCTACCACCTTTCTCAAGTATCATGTCCCCAAGCCATGTAACACCACTTGGAATAACAAAATTCTCAAACAAGTTACTGCAGAAGCTTCAGTTTCACTGTTATTACTATATGTATCGAACAGTACCGGCATCCTTGTGGTTTCTTTCTTTCTTTGTTCCTTAGAAGTAATTATTCATGCATACTTTTTGAGAAAATCCAGCAACTTAGGTTCTTCACCGGAAAATGTTGAGAGGCCTGAGGAGAATATAAAGTTGAATATTGCAAACTATCCTAGGTGTTCAGCTTCCTTCCAGGAGGGGTTTTGGAGAGCAGGTGTTGGTTTCTTGGCAATGCTTGCTCACATTTCTTACTGAAAACCAGGTTTAGGACACGTGAGTTGGTTTGCTATTCCGATTATTGGCAATTCTCTTCACTCAGTTACGTATTACAAAGAAGAAGTATTGCGCACGGCGCTATTCCGATATCAATCTCCGGAACGTAGGTTATAATAGGAAAAATTATCTCTTCATTTAGGTAAAGTCGAATAGACTAGAGAGAGCTAAAGAGATACAAAGGCTTCTATAATCTAGATAACAGACTGTACATGTTTGTATTTAAGACATATACCCCTCAATCAGATTCACCACCGCTTGTCTGCCACAACTCCGGGCAAGCATCAGAGGTGACATGCCACCCCGATTGATCGGAGTCCTATCAACCCCGTCGTTCTCCATGAGCATCCGAACCAAACCCACATTCCCACGTCTAACGGCCTTATGCAAAGGCGTGTTCGCAAAAACATCGGCAAGGTTGGCATCCGTACGACCGTTCGACAGTAGTATCCGTGCGATATGATTATAGCTCATCTCAGCGGCGACCGCCAACGGCGTAGACCCACCCATATCCCTCTTGTTAACATCAACCGCAGCACCCTGAATCAGCACATGGACGGCCGCTGGGCAGTTTGAAAATGTCATCCAATGCAACAGGCCCCGGCCATAGTGGTCGACAGAGTTCAATCCGGCCCCGGGATAGTTGTGCAAGACTCGAAAGATGTCAAGATGCCCGGATCGGGCAGCCCACCAGAACGGGCAGTTGGGCATGTTTTCCACTTTGACCTCTGCGCCCCTAGAAAGCAACAGTTCTACTAAGTCCAGCCTTCCACGTGCTGCTGCTGCTGCGAGCGGCGTCACGCCGAAACGGTCTACCGCATTTAGTTTCTCTCCACAATCGATGAATATACGGATGGTTTCCTCGCTGCAATTCCTTCTTATTGCATTGTTCAGAAGTGCTCCGTCGCCGACGAGTGTGCCGACCCTTTGTCGGATGAGTCTGCTCACTAGCCAGTAGTCTTTCTTAGCCGCTGCGTAGTAGAGTGCTTTTCTCGCAGGGTCGCTTAAGCCGGAGCTGTAGATGCTGTCATATAGGGAGATGCGAAGGACACCAGCCAAATGCTTGTTTGTCCTCCGGAAAGAGGCTATGTCCCGTGTATCTAGATATCCTGCAATCAAGAAGAGGAGCTCGTTTGGCAGAAAAACGAGTGGCATGTTGCAGTCGGGGGGTTCGCGCCGTAGAGGACTATCTCGGTATGATGATGCTGCACGGTGGAGAGTTAGGCTCCTCAAATGCTTTATAGTGTGGCCCACTCCCAGCTTTCTATGGAGTGCTGGTGTTCCTAAGTTCTTGATCCGGAGAAGTCATTTTGTCCACGCCGGCTCCTCAATAGCATGGACATGCATGGGGGTCCATGTATCATACTGTACACACACTTCAACTAGAGAGGATATGAACTACCTTCACTTGTGGCTCAGCCACAGGGGAATATATATTACCCTCCGAGGCCAACCCTAATAAATTGCAATGACTAATTAACCTGGAATCAGGATAGAATAAATAAGGCAAGGAATACCAGGTTTCGGTGCATTGTCCGTTTACAATACGAGGGAATCCATATGGATAAGAAGCAATTTCTCACACGTCAGAGAAGTGCTGAATAGTTTGAAACATAATCTGGAATTGCATATCCAAGAGCTGACCTCGGGTTACCGAAACTGAGCCCAGGCCTCTGTATACCGATATTTCTACTCCACACCCAGACACCGACGATATTCGGGAATACCACAAACAAGAGTACGTTTCTCAACCTGTGGATCCATGCGAGGAATATCAATATCTACGCATTTTGTACGAGCCCCCGCACATATTGTTGGATATATGTGCCCTTGCATCCGGCCATCTCAAGAGGGCTTCTCATATATGGTGCCATGCCAAGAGAGGCGTATAAACCAGGGAGACTGATTTGCTACGAGGTGCCTCTCGAATCGCGCGCTTTGCAAAATTTCGGCGGCTTGTCGCCGGACCTGTGGATCCATAGGGAATCGCAGCCGGAGCAGCCCAACCACCTAGGGGTCGGGAGCATAGGTACAGCATAGTACAGAAGTACAGATATCAACAAAAGTAGAGCAAGTAGAACACAATTTCCGTTCAATTATGCAGCGCTCGTGAAGCACACTTTGAATTAAGTTATTTGTACTAACGAACAAGGAAGTTTAATAATGATACACAAGAACAAAAGTCGAACAGGAGTGGGATAGAAGTTAAAACAAAAACGTAAAGACATAAATCAAGCAACCCCACCAAGTTTCTTTTTTTGTTTCAAAGCAAAAGGAAAAGGAAAGGAAAGCCATTTTAAAGAATACCTGCAGTTTTTCCCCTGTTAGAAGACCGCAATTGCGCCAAAGAAACACCATTGTTATAAGAATACTAAAGTCATGCTTCTGAATCCCAAATTCCACCACACCCCAGATCCTCTAGAAAAAAGAAACCCGATCGCCCCCACAAAATCACAAATACGGCATCCAGAGATTGTCAAGTTGTGCCAGATTCATGGGGTTTGATGCCCTGGAAATGTAATCGATAACAGTTTGGTTGGCCGGGATACCTCCGGCACCGCTTGGCTGGGCTAAAGATGTCGCTCTACGAACAATGATTTCTGAGTTGAGCTGTACCCTCTCTCGTAGTTGCTGTTCCCCTATGCTAGAACGATGCTGTTGGGTGAACCAAAAAATCATTTCGTCACGCACAAACACACTCAAATGTTGGTCGAGTTCGAACTGCGATTAATGTTAGGATATGCTCGAGTGTATAAGCAAGTGGCTAGCAAATTTTATAACATACCTCAGGTTCCGTAAGACAGCGTGCAATGACCATGACCGCGCAAGAAAATATTCCTTCGATAGCAATCGGGCCCATTAGTGTCTGAATATTCGGACTAAAGCGGAATGGGACCAATTCGTTGTTATGGAAGTATGCATTGGTTGATGCCATGGCAGGAATCAATTCGGACCCCCAAATATTTCCAGTCTCTCTGGCGATAAACATCTTGTGCGGGAATCGACTACCCATACTCATAACATAAGTCATGAAGGTCAAAGCCGCATACTGATAGCTAAATTGACGACGGAAGAGGAAGAATTCCGTAAATGAAGTATACGATTTGGTCATGAACTATCCACAGTTAATTAATATACTCCGCCAAACATTTCAGGTTACCAACCTCAAGCGCGATATTAGGCGGGACCATGGCCGATTGGATGGAATTAAATATTTCCAACTTGACGTTTGCGTCAACCTGCTGTTGGACGCCTCTACCCGGATCTAGCGAGGCAATAACTTTCTTGAGCGAAAAGATTAAGGGATCATCCTTGCTCATTCCTGTCCTCCGGCAATGGTCTTCATAAATTCCCTGCAAGGATATATAGGAAGCGTCATCCTGAACAATTCTAATATGCGGTGCCAAGGGGATCATCAATGGCAAATGGAAGCCGAGATTCCGGCGACGGCTTTCTTTTCTTCTAGCAAGAGCACTATATTCTATTAGCTTTGGATAACCACCTCGATTCAAGAGAATATACCCATTGAAAATACGGAATAGTTGTAGTATCCTCTCTTCTCTGCGACAGTGCCTTGCAGCGGGGTGTTGGATAGCAAAAGTATGTATGCCTCCATCATGTCCCCTCAATTTTAGGCGCCGGTGGCACACACCATACCCACGGACAACATCTACTCGGGGGAGGAAGCGATCAATACGAACGAAGTCTTTGTTGTTGTCCTTGTGCTGTGCGAGTGTTAATAGATGTGAATAAAGCGGGAATTGAGATTGTTTACCAGTAAGTATTGACCCGGAACCTCAACGTCGTCGAATTTCTGAAACCTAAACTCACTCAAGTGAGGGCTGTATGACTCAAGATCCCGATTTGGCGGCCGACGATCAAGCTTCTCCTCAAATCTATCCCTCCAGCGCCGCAGCCTCTCGATATACGAGAACAAATTGGGGCGTTCGTTCACAAAGTCTGCCTCAAACGCAACCCGGATATGGGCGGGGAGGATCGTCTCCGCAAAACGAGTGATGTTTGATTCGGTGGAGGGCGGGAGCTTCGAGTCCTCAAGTGAAGGGTTCATCCTCGCAATCCACTGCAACTTGTTAGTCGGGCTTAGTTGGCCAGCATGCGCTCATTGTGATGCAAATCTTACCTGCAGTCCATCATTCAAGAGTGCAACAATCAACCTATATGCATCCTCATCTGGCGGGCACTTGAAGAACTTTTGTATTTGGTCGCCCATAGTCTCCATTGAAAGAGCAAGAAGGGGGAACGCAGTCTTCAGGACAGACATGATCTCCTCTGCATACTCCCAAGGTAAACGCTTGACCGGCGGTTGGGGGCTGGGCACAGCGGGGGCGGGCGACGACATATTTTGCCCCGTTGGAACCGGCGTCGGAGATCCAGCCTCTGCTCTGTGTTAGATAATTTACAGGAAATTAGACTTGGGAGCCGTACTAATAACTTGGGGGCCAGAATTAATGGCAGACTGAGGACTAGATGCCATCCCTGTTTCGGTTCCGTTGGCTTGTGTTTGCGTCGCAACGCTACCCTGGCGACCTGAAGGAATTGCTTGACCAACAATCGGGGAGCCAGCCTTCCCGCGGTTCGATGCTGCAGCCTGCGCAGTCTGCTTCTTGATAACCTGGTAATCCTCACGGCTTGTGCGCAGCAAAAAGTATAAAGCCTTAAGAAGTTAGCAAACAGGCAGCGCGAATAGGGACAGCGACGTACCTGGGGGAAGTGTTTGGCAATCTTGATAAGAATTGTCCGAGCAAGACGAGCCTCCTTATGGGAGAGAGAAGTCAAAAGTTGTGGGATGTAGGTAATCCAATACCAAATCGGGATGTCGCCCTTATAAGCGTCAAACGCCCCAGAGATCGAGGCGCTTGCGTCGTCTAAGCTCAATAGCCAAAGGACTCGCCCGAGCAGCTTCCGCGCTTTCCCGCTCTTGTAAAGGCCGGCCGCTTCCAAATAACAGCTGACAGCATTGCCCGCCGGTTGCATATCTTGGGGATTCTCTTTGAATAACGAGTCATTGTAGTAGCCCCACTCTGCCCAGGCCTTTGGCAACTTAAGGTCATGGTAAAGCGCGAGACCAAATGCTTCGTTGGCATCTTCTTTCTGCTTAAGCTTTGACAAAAACATTCCTTTTAGAGTGTAGAATTCGGCCTTTTGACCAGCCCCGAAATACCCTAGATTCGTGTTATTGATCACCTCAAGTCCTTGTGTGAGTTCGTTGGGGTTCTGGTAGTGACACTTGGCCTGCTCCCGGAGCTTGAGGAAGGCTTCTTGGATCTCGATGTTTGGTAAGGTATAGATTTTACTCAATTGATTGATACACACCTCCGGGAGTTGGTGTTTCCGAGCAACATGGGCAAAGCGATTGATAATCCAAGCAGTCTCATGGTATCCACGATAGGCGTAAGAACTGTTGCTGCTGCCACCTGCACTTTGGGCTTGGCCGGGGAGAAGTGGAAGGTAAGTGTTGTTAATCGAGTGGAATATGTGTTGCCTCCAGGTGACGAGGTCGCGCCAGCTATTGATATCATCCCAAACATTTGGCAGCCGATCTCTCCAAGTTCCTAATAGCATCTTGAGCTCTTGTGACTTAGCATCGAGGTTCTGCGCAGTTGTTGCAGAAAGGCTACTGTAGATTACGCTCGCATCGTGTAACTCGACAAGTTGCTGAAACGCTTGAAGGAGGGGGATATGCGCGTTAGTGATCCTCCGCGGTAGGTTATGCCACTTACGAAGGGATAGTTGGATGGCTTCGTCACATAGCCTCGAAAATTCTCCCGGCACTTCTGTTTTTTGATGAACTTTTTGTAACGCCATAAAAGCAGCGAAAAAGTACCGTCGCGGAGTTGGGGCATCCATGAGGGATTTGATAGTAGAATCCATGCGTTCCCCATCTGCCCCATTCCAATTTTCCAACAATCTCCAACCGCATTCCAAGAGAAGGTCATTATAATTTTCGTGCTTGGCAAACTCACTTAAAATTTCCCACTGCTGGAGTTTCTGCGCGCAAACAACCCAGTGGTCTTCCCAAAGATTATACTCGGAACTTGAGAATGGTAGAGCTCCCGTGCGTGCTTTGATTTGGGCGACCTCATACATCTGCTGGGCCTTATCCCACATCCCGTTCTGCTCGTACGAAACGGCAGCGTTGGTCTCTAAGTATTGGGCCCGTCGTCGCCACAGACCGTAGAACAGGTCCTCTTCAGAAAGCATGGCATACATTTCTGCCAATGCATCTAAGTTACTCTCTCGCACGACAAGACTGTCCATAGGAGGAACGTTCGCTGAATCTTCGAGGAGGTGGATCGCAGAGTACCAGGAATCGTAGGTTTTGCTAAGGAACTTGACCATGTGAGGAGGTAAAGTTAATTTGGGGGATGCGTGCTCAACTCCTTCAAGAATACTTTGGATGACATTGGGCCGTTTGTCCATTTGCCGGTGGTGCCATTCCTTGGATAGGAGCGAAACAATACCCCTTAAAAGATCCTGGCGATCCTCTTTGCCCAATGCCGACCAACATAACGGGAACAGCGCAACCCATATCTGATGCCCCACCTTCGGATCGAGATGTTGAAGTTGAGCCATTGGCTCAAAAATATCCCCAGCTCTTACCTCCGCCAAGCTTTGGCAGAATCTTCTGTGGCGAGCCATAAAATCTTCAAACTTTTCGTCCAGCATCAAGGAGTCCTTCCGCCCATCCGAAACATACGGCATTACTGCGAAAGATGCTGGTGCGACTTTCAGATCGTCCTCATGAAGTTCAACCCGGAGATCCATATCCACCGACCCAAAAAGTAAATGTGATGCTTGATTCAGCCAATAGGAATCCGCAAGGATTTCCCAATTTTGAGTTGCCAGGACAAAGCTAAGTCGATTGCTGATCGTTCGGGACAGACTTCGGTCAAAGATTTGCAAGAACCGATTCCGCATGTTAACATCTTTCGCCCGGGTTCCGATCAAAAACGCGGGTTCAAGCCGGACCGTAAGCTCCGTCTTGGTAATCACCGGGTCTTCGTATATATCGATTACCAAGTCCAAAAAGCTACTGCAAAGTAATGGATCAGGTCTCGACTCGAATGACAGCATCTTCGACAATACAGCTATCTTCTCCTTTAACGTCGGGAAAGACTCCGTCGATCCAAATACCCATCCTCGCACAATGTGTAAAATTTTCAAGCACAATTCCGAGCTTGAGGACCTCTCAACCAATTGAGCCATCACACTCAAGAAAGGCCTCCGCTGATCCCCCAGCACGGATACCCTAGCGGATGCAACGTCTATCACCATTCGAAGGAGCTCTGTTGTAGTATCTGGGTCAAAGACCTGTGAATTACCTCCAGTGTTTGGCTCTGTCTTAGCTGAATTCGGCAGATTAACCACTGGTGCAGGTCCGCCCGGGGGTGCCGAGAGGTGGTCTTTCCCAAGTTTCTGAAACGCTTTCATGAGCGCCGGTATGTGGTCATCTATAACGGTTGGCCGCTTCTCAGATAGGGTCCAAAGGACATTAACACTGGACATCAGGTTGGTGTTTAAATTCTCCTGGACAATAGTAGTAAGTAGGGAAATAAACAGGTCGGATGGCGAGTCTGTCTGCTCCTCCTCCTCCTCCTCTCCTTCCACCCTAGTAGCAGGAATGGCCTGAAGCACCCGCGCAAGCACTGGCTGGAGACTCTTTTGTACTTCGGCGTTATCAGACCTCAGGGACTTCTCCAGTATTTTTTGGATTTGCGGCAGGTGTTGCATGATCCAGTCATCAGCCTTGAGATCAACAATTATCCTCATGACTCGTAGCCCATTGAGAAAGCCTGGGAGCGTGTCGTTCGTGATTTCATTGTGGATGAGGTGCTTTTCGGTGACCTTCGGGAACAAATCGATATCCAGATCCCCCCAGTACCTTGGGCTAAGAAACTCCTTCAGCAAACAGAGCGCATTCGAACATAGCTCGCTAGAAGAAAATTTCTCTTGGAGGCCGCAAATGAAGGTCACCAAATGCTTAACCACGTGCATACGAAGCACAGTTGGGACCGCATATTCCGTTTTGTCCGAGTTGGGCGCAGAGCCAGGGGCTGACGGGGACCGTGAGTCTACCGGCAATTGGCCGTATTTCCGCTTTCTTGATGGTGAGGCCTCGGGGCTGTTCCTCGCAGCCTCAGAAATCCGACGCTTTTCCCAATCCCGAATTAATATGATTAGATTGATAGACAACTTTTTGTTTTCCGTGGAAGGATTAGGAAAATGAAGAACAAGCTTGGGTAACGAAGTAACGATCCAACTGAGAAAATGCTCTCTAGACTCATAAAACAAATCACCGTGTTTCACAAGAAACTGAAATATATTTGTCATCTGTTGCTGGTTGTGTCCCTCCTCAGACAAAATGCGCCGGGGCCATCTTGCCCAGATCGGATACCGGGGGTCACTAACATTAGGTACTCGCTTTTTTAGTACCGGAGCGATAAGTTCGAGAGCCTGTGTGACTAAGGCCCTTCCTTCGTGTTGGTGCGCCTTTAGTAAGGCCACATAAATCTGAATAACAATCTTCGAAGGTGTGTCGTAGTGGCGAATAAAAAATGCAATCAAGACATATGCCGCCTGTTTATTAACTATATCCTCAAGTTTGATATAGTTCCAGCCAAATTTGATGACATCCTTTCTAGCCTCATTCAAAATGGTATTGTGGTCCCTAATCAAAAGCGCCGACATCTGTAGAAGTTCCATTCGGGAGTGGTCTAAGCCAGGAGAAGCGTCATCGCCTAGATCTCCAAGGTTTGGCCTCCAAATTTTAGAGTGAATGGCTTCAATCATATTCCTGTCAACAAGCTTTTGACCGTTAACGGGTTTAGCCCCACGCTGAACATCCATAGCAAGTATGGGGTTAACCAGATAGTGAAAGGCAAATGTCTTTGTCTCCTGAGTTGAGGACTTTCCGGAATACAAATCCAGACACCTATAGATCACATTTCGCCACTGCTCAATGGACCCGCCACATATGATCTTGGAATAGATGTGGCTGGTTAGAGCATTAGATCTCTTGAGCTTGTTGGACGTCCGTGCATCGATCACCTTCAAATAGTTAGAAATAGCCCGTTGAGAATCGGAGGAATCAAAGGCATACCTGGAAAAGGAACTCCAAGTCTTCCTCCGCATGTGTAAGATAGATCATGAATATCTCGAGTAGTGTCTCGGAAGATTGTTCAACAGCCAATCTAAGGGGAACCGCAACCTTCCCCTCCTTCAATTTTTCTCTCAATTCAACCCCGGCCCGAAGCAATTTTTCCATCAAATCGCGATTTTGCACGAGCCAGTCCCTACTATCAGGGTGCTTCACGATGGCGTTGACAACATTAGCCGCATTTACTATAGCAATGCACCCGCCTTCCATCCCGACACCCAGATGGATCGTTGATTCCACAAAACGCGGTACATCACCGCAAACAACATTACGCAGGGGCCCACTACTGTCATCTGCAAGAAGTTGCCAAAATATCCTGCCGTATCTGATATCGATTAGTTTGGGTTTCATAAACGCCCAAGTCTCGCTCGGATATCGATTGACAAATTTCAAAAGGGGGGCCCGAAATGGGCTATGCTGTGTTCGCCGAAGCTTTTCCTCCAGCTCTATCACAATCTTAAACATTTCCTCTAAGAACTGAACTGCTGCCGGCGGAAGCAAATGGAATATGTTTAGTATCGAAGCTATAACTCGAATGTTCTGATTTTGCTCAAGCAATTTGAATGAGGTTTGCTGGAGTATATTTGGTTCGGCCAAGTTCTTCAGGTGGTCCAGTAACCTACTACCGATCTCCACCTTAAAGTAATTCGTCAGAAGCTCCAGTAGTCTTGCTAATCCCTCCAACCCCGCAACATTTAATCTCTTTGGATCAGAAAGATTCATTAGAATCGGGCGAAGGCCATTCTGAAGAAGATCCTTTGGCAGCTTATTTGTCTGTGCAAGAACTCCTTTAAGCCCTGAATTTGCTGCGTCGATGACCTCGGGAGATTTTGAGTAAAGCGATTTAAAAAACACCGATATAATCCTCCCTCTCGTTTGGGTTTTATCGGGCGACGCGAAATCGGGGTACGTAATTGCCGTGGACAATAGCTTGATGCAAACAACCCGTAAGTTGAGAACGGACTCAGTCGTTCGGTGTTCAGGGACTCTGTTGTTTGATAAGGCATCGTCATCGGCATCTGCGAGGGCAAGTGCTTCCATCATGAGACGACTCATTTCCTCGTTGAACTCAAGAAAAGCGGGTTGGAGGCTAAGGCAGAAGGTTATTGCATCGATATAGCCAATCTGACTCGCAAATGGAAGGGCGCGAAGTGGCTTATTGAAAATTGGTGTTAACAAGCGATCCTTCACAGGAGTCATCAATGTATGTATCTCTATATCAAGTATGCTCGACAAGGTTGCAAAAGATCTTTGCGCCGTTTCCCTCACATGCTTATTAGGATTAGATAGTTCACAAATGAGCAAAGCGCAGAGGTTGAAGCTCTTCGAGTGATAAATCGTGATTTCCTCCCTGGAGACATTCTTGCTGCAGCCCCGTAGAACAAGATCAAGTGTGGATTGGGCACACTCTCGAGTACTAGCCGGAAGGTCTGGAGGCATGTCCTTGATGACATATAGCAAAGCCCGAACAAAATCGTGTTGGCGTTCCACCATCCAAGCCTCTCCCAAATCCAGATCCTCGGTCAGCGCACGAATCCCTAAGCATCCACCTGATTTAGGATACCACTCTTCCTCATAACAGCAATGGCAGAAAGTTTTCGCCATCGAAACGAAGAAGGGGAGTTTATGAACGTTCTCCGTTGACCCAAAGAGTGTGGCTGCAGTATCGTAGATCACCTTCAATGCTTTCTTGGCCAGTTCTCTTACAGTCCTACTCTCCGAAGACAGGCAATAAGCGAGAGCCTCGGATAAGCTTCTGTTATCAAGATACATTGGGCCTTCGCCACTATTGACGACAAACTGCTGTTGTCTCTGTCGCATTTCTGTTGTTGCTCTCCCTACTTCCAAGATTGTGAAATGCCGGCAGACATCAAACACAAGTGAGGAGGCATCCTCCTCAAGCTCGGGGATAGCCACGGCGTGCATAACTGATTCCAAAAGTTTCCGGAGGACAGCTTCTTGGTCGTGCTTCTTAAAAACAGGTTTATGTCGGTCAGAGGACGGAACATGAGCACCTGCAAGATCCGATGATCCGCATACCAAATCGTTGGCCTGTAACCGGACCAGGAGAGCGAAATCCTCTGGTAGTGGGTCGTATCCCACGAAAAGTTTCAGAGCGGAGCTCAACAGTCTCAGGGATTGCTGTTTGTAAAATAAGTCGGTCCTTTTGTCTTGCCCAGTTTTTGAAAGCTTCTTATCAAATATCCTTTCTACAGCCAAATCAACCGCGCGAAGCATTGGGAACGCACGTTCACCGGGAGCTCCATGGAGTTTGATATTGACACTACAAGCGTCATCGGCGTAAAGCCCGAAGGCTAGAGCAGGAGGGTGGGTCAAGAACCGCCGGTTTCTGCCTCCAAGTTTGCCTAAAATTCGCATTGTCGTGTGGCTGTGAACGTGGTTGTAGGGTAACGGCTTGAGGTGATCCCATAGCGCAGCCATCAGATCGTCAATAACAGGGGCCATTATGGGATCCAGATAGTCTGCCGTCAAATTATCCACACAAAGCTCGAGCGTCCTCAATCCTTGATTAACCAGCTCCTGCCCGGCCCTGAGAGCTACCACTAACGGCTTCATCAAGTAGCTCAAGTGTGGCAAGAGATTACTCAAGCGTGCTGGAACGGTGAGACACAATTCAACGTACAAATCCCTCTCTTGTACCTTTTGAGCTGAATTCAGCAGAGTGTTTAAAACCTCGAGGAGGGTTTCCAGAAGAGGCAAAATCTCTTTGTATAAGTGCTCGAACCTACCGCCACCTATGCTGCGAAACAAGGACCTCAGAAGCAAGAAGTAATTCATAGGCTCCTCGGCAGTGGTTGATAGACTAATTGACTTGAGGACAATCTTACTAACATGGGGTAACAGAACTTGTTCGTTCTGCGTCGAGAAAAGTGTGACGGCCATAAAGGACAATTTGAAGAGGCGCAACAGCACTTGTGACTTCCTCGGATCTTTAGTCCCCACTTCCTCGATATGGTCCATCAGAAACTGAAGAAGCATCCCACAGAAGCTCGGAGAAGTCGCTTCACTAGCGAGGAAAAATTGGGGAACATGTAGGAGTGCCGTATGCTCAAACATCATCTCGTACAGGTGTGGAATTTCGGAATGGAACACTTCATGGAAAGTAGCCGGGTCGATGCAATGAAACACAGTTGCGAAAGTCTCTAGCAATTCCTTCTCTTCCTTTCCATTCGGAACCATAAAGTGATTGGTTAGGAAGTCTACCGGTGAGGTGGTTGGATCGGATACTTTCGCTTCGTGTTCAACACCGTAGTAGCGAAAAACTCTCGCTCCCTCACGAAACAGTCCGATTATGACATTGACCTCTTCAGCGCTAAACCCGAATGCGACCTCGCTCCAATTTGGAGGGTTGTTGTCTGTCGATTGGGGGGGCGGGTTACATGCCCGTAAGGCGAAAAGCATGCTCTTTAGACCATTCATAAGGTTCTTAAACAGAAATTTATTATCTTTTTACGACCATTACCATTAGCGTATGAGAAAAGCGCAGGGCAGAGTAATCACTATACCTGAAACCGGATCGGCACCTCTCTCCCTAGGATTCGATGTCTTAATCGGTGTTGCCGTGAATATGTCTATTTCGTCGTGCTCATCCCGTCTATTCCTCTCCGGTTCCATTACAACTTCTTCGGACTTGATTTCTTCCTTGGCGCGCCAATTCATTCTGCTCTGCTTGACGGCATTCTCATACTGCCTGTTCATAGACTTGAATTTTTCGGCGATAGCATCAAGGATCATAATCAGGAAATGTCGAGCTGTGACGCAATGTTAGACTCCCGACATTCAAAAATTGAATCTTAAAAGCTCTTACCCTCCTGTTTATCCTCTAATTTCGCTATAAACTCAGCCAAATTTAACAGTAGCTTTGCACTCATTGTCTGAAAACTTGTGCCAGGGAAGTTATCATGCAAATTCTTCGTATACACCTCAACGGTCCGTCCAATTTGATCACGATCTAATGCATCTCGAACATGATGAATTAAATCTGCTAACATACTGTATGCTAAGGGCCTGCCGCGTACTTTTTAGCCCCCGCATCCTTCCGGGATATGGCCAAACTCACCTCATAGTTTCATAAACGGTTAACCCGTCGCCAATAAGAACTCGCTCATCCAGGAGTTCGTCTATCTTGCCCAGAAATATCTTCCGAAAATTGAAATTGATTATGTGACGTGTAGCTACGAGAAGCTCCTAAGTGAAATTGTTCGTAAACCTCAGGTCGGCAGAGGAGTAGCCATGCTTACCTTGCGAGCCCCAGAACGTTCTCTTGGACAATCCTTCAGCAATCTCACCACAATCTCAGGAAGTGTGGGCAAAAATTCTTGTAGTTGATGTGCATATACTCGCAACACATAGGCCAAAAAACTCATGGTCTAGATACATTAACAATTCTTTCACCATACCACACTTTAATAACCGGGTTTAGAACTGACCTTAACTTGAGCTGTTATGAACTCACCAAATGCGACCCTATTCTTGATGTGAGGGCTAACACCCGTGAACACCTCCCCTTTGGCTTTAGCCAGTCTATGCGCCTCCTCCTGAGGCCCGGCTTGTAACAACAGCATTTCCTTTATCCGAGGAACAAATAGCCTAACATTCCTGTGCACACAGGGCCGATGAGCTTGAAATAAGCTGACCACTATGATCGGGCATTCCGCAAGAACCTTGAAACTCTGCATTCCTTTAACTAGCATTTTTGCGGGTTGTTGCACCTCCGTCGCGGGATCCTGACCCGGCATCATTGGAGACATCGGCTTAGGGCTCTGCGTCATGCCCAAATTCTGTGCCGAATTCCCTGGTGTGCCAGGCATTCCTGGTGTACTCCCCGACGTAGTGGATGGATTGTCGAAAGCTTCCTTTACAGCTTTAGGCATCATAGTGAACATTTCCTGTATCAAATCCAAGAATGGTTGGACCTTCTCTGTAAGTTGTTTCTGATAATGTCTCTGAAAATCCATTATCGTCTTCATGCACAGAACAGCGTTGTCCTCATTCTCGGTTTTAACAAGCGTCATTAGCAATGTCATCAGATCACTGGCGTATGGCTCCAGAGCCTCCGGTGGGGTATACGGTAACCGGTGGATCGTATCGAGAGTGATATTTCGCAATTTCTACACATTCCGTCAACCAAGCCCCTTAAAACAGAAAATGTTTACCGAACCTGCTCAGGGGATGTAGATACAAACACAGGCTGACCACTTAGTATGTTCATAAACACAGGCATTAACTTCGCTAAAAATTTCGTGTATTCCGCTGGCCCTTGTGTAAACATATCTATCGAGTCACGGAGCTCCCCTGCGATCTGCAGTTTTAACTTGGCATCTAACCTCCCATCCTCGTTAGCTATACCGCCGCTGTTGCAAAAAGAAGAAATATTAGAAACAAACCAAGCGAGCTATCCCCGAGCCTCGCGGCATACACGTCCGCGTGGGCAGTTCCGCCCGCCATGATGTTTGTAGATCCCCTCAGTCAGCCGAGGTAGCTTCAGTATTCGCAGCTATCGAGATTCAGAGACCCAACGGTGGGATATAGTAGGAACTTAAATTCCTAGAAGTAAGTCTTTGTTAGATATGATGGCTTAGTTCCGCGGACCGCTGAAGTTGAGGAGTTGTGTGGTTTAGGTAAAACGGAGGCGATTCACCTTCTGCTCTAGGGAAATGACTTGCAACCACCAGGGGGCATTAGGGGGAGGTTGAGGGACCGGAAAAGGGGTAAGGGTAGAAGAGTGATGTATAAACTTCTTTTGGGGAGCCGATGGTTTCTTGCACACGCAAAGGACTAACCTATTTCTCAGCGCGCTGTTGAGTGTAGGATGCAAGGCTGCAGTTGCAGGTTTGAGGGATGAAGAGGGCGACGGCGGGCGACACTCTTTAAGTAAATTACAATGCCAAGCCTTGGCCCTTCCCCGTGCGACACAACCAGACCCATGCCTATCCTCGGCCCCAGAGCCGCAGGAGGCTCTATCTGCGCACGATTTCGCCCAACTCACCTTGAATCCATGAAGAGTTGGGTTTTCCCATCGCCAATATGCTAGCCATTCCAAAAGTACGCAGAAATCTGCGACCAAGCCTTTGGAACGACACCCGAACCTCAGAGTCCCGGAAAAAAGGCTTCAAGATACTTTGGGAATTGGGGAGTACTATTCAGTGCTTGAGTACAAGTTTGTGCTGGACATCAAAAATCGATGTTGTTGCCCACAGGCTTCGCCCCGGAATGCATACAAAAAAACCGTTCTGGATAAATCTGTTTGTGGTCCACCTTTTCCAAAATCCCCACCTTACAGTTCCCAACACTCTATCAAAACAATAATAATAATAATAATAAATAACAAGAATTCACAGAACCAAAGAGGAGTTCATTCTAAGCAGTTCTATCATCCAGATTTTTTCCTTTTGTTGGATTTTATCGCGGTGAGGGTCAACTTCAGCCGCCCGGCACCAGACACCCTCAGTGAACTACTATGCTTATCGAGTGGCTCTAGGACCACAATATTATCATGTTCCTAACCCTGCTGTTAAGCTCAGCGAATTCAACCTTTCCCAATGGGTGGGGCCCAGATGGCCAATGTCTCAGAAAAAAGAAGAAAAATCCAATATCCAAAACATTACTTGGAAAACGTAACCAATTCTCAGGTTGTCCACCCCCTCAAGCGCCTCTCGCAGACATATTCCGCAATTGATTAACGAAAAACAGCACCACGTAAAAGCATAACCCCATAGCGTTCCAGGTATAGGTGGATGTTTCACTAAATAGATGGGCGAGTCGATAAGGCGCACCTCACCTGACACAGGTATTCCCGGACGCGGGGGCACCCAGCTCGATAAGTGCCAACTTTCTGGTCATCTGGAGTGCTGGTAGTGAAGTTTAAAAGCACACTCAGAAACCAGGGTGCAAGACAACCAATTCGGACAGCAGGGGGAAATCCTTCCCCGCTTACATGTTTCTCCCCAATGCGAGTGTGCCCGTACGGTACCCAAGCCGCTGTACCGCCCGATCCTACGACCCGGTAAGTACGCTGGGTAGAAAAATGGTGCCAAGAGAGATACAGTGTCCCGCTCAATACTAAACTTTGACCCCTCTCGGAGCGAAATCAAGGCACATTAACGGTTACTCTAATAATCTGCCACAAACGAAACAAGGCTGCAACTTTTGCTCTGCTGAACCCCCTCTCCCTCACGTCAACATCTCCTGGCACAAATAACAGCGATACTTGTTTAAATTGGCAATAGTTTGTATTTTAATTCTAACCTGATTATGTCTCTGAACCTCCCCGGGAAACATGGACCGCTAGTGCAAGCCGATCCCACCCACAGCTACTGGCAAGGAGGTTTTCTAAACCTACAGTATGATAGAAAGTGGAAAAGGGTCTCATTACTTTCTTTCATCTGACACTGATTTGTTTCATCCCTCTCACGATATTCTAGGGGTTCTTGTCATTCGATTATCCATCACCAACTATCACTCTCGCCCAATGTGAACTAATAGGACAGCCATCGAGAAAGAAGCCCGACTTTCTTACCGCATGCGCAGCTGTAGGTTTTTAAGCTAAACTGAACGACTAAACAAAGGAAAAAGATATCAAGAACCCAAAGGAAGAACTTGAAAAGACCCCAGAGGAGAAGAGCACACATCAGGCACTTGGGAGGACTGTATATGACGAAAAGAAAGTGATACCATAGTCAAATATGGCATAATTATGCAGTTGTGAGACAAACGGAGAATAGATGAAGAAAAAGCCAAACAGTCGCTAACATTCAAGAGAGTGGTGAGGAAAGTACTAAGAGAAACTAGATGAGAGGAAGCCAGTCTGTCTGGCGGATAAGCACTAAATCTAACACCCCATTCCAAGCTCCCCGGGCGCCACGGGTGCAGAGGAGGACAATCTTTAAACACCGCAGAATTCACGCAATTGGATCGTTAACTATTCGGTATTATTTTGGTCGTGTTGCCTTACTGCAGCTCGCCCCTATATTACTCGTGCAGTTATATAGGTACTACGTCATACTAGTTGCCCTGATGCTGCGTGTAGAGAATAAGGGATTGTAAAACGTGTAAATCTTTGCATGAGAACTCGAGTAGAGAGTTTGTTCTCGGGATTCGGTAACAACCCCCCCGAGTGTTTTCTAGGCAAAGTTGGGTGTCATACCCAGCCGACGTTGGTGCTGGGGCGATAAGCTCGTACTGTAAAATGGTCTACCATACCAGAAGCGAAACCCAATACTAAAGTCCGCTACTCACACTATCCCGCAAACTCCCATACCTCGTCATCAATCCTGAGCACCACTCGAGTAGTGATATTGCTTGCCCAGCAAGAGAAACCATTAACTAGTGAGGTAATGCACTCACGCGCAACCGGTGCGTGCGGACCGCGCACTAGTCCCTCCTGGAGAATACTGGGTCCCCAACGGTTTTCGAGTATTCCTCTAGCTGCCATGGGATTCTGTCGGAAGGGGGCTTGGGTATGATACGTTATTGTATCAAGTTACATCCCATAATCCGATAAGAATGGATAACAGATCAACATGAGATACTGGTCTCGTGCACCTGCCAAGAACTCGAGAAATACCGTAAAAGCGGGAACACCAGTATAAGTATCATACTACGGTATCCAAGAAAAAGTTAGTGAACAATTAATTTAAGTTAACGTATAACATAATCCCTGTCTTGCGCGGGAACATCTCTCCGGGTACCCGCGATTAACCCTGCGGGCTTCTATCAACTATGGTAGACATGATGGGTTCGGGCGGGTATCTATATGCACGGCCTCCCTCCTTTTGTGGGATGTGGTATCGAGTGTCCTACTTTGATTACTGAGTAAAGATTTCCTAGCAGTGCCCAGGCAAGACTCCTACCGCATGGTGATAGCATCTACTCGAGTATGCTTGTTCCATGTCTGTCTGGATAATTTCGATTGGCTAAATGGGGGCTAAGTGTACAGTACAGAATATTGCTCCCCCGGATCGTGCGCAGTCGCACATGAGAAGCCACCATGTTGCATAAATCCAGCCATACACCAATGTAAACTAATTTCTCTCTGGGACATGTTCCAGAACGGGTCCCAGCATCAGAATCCGGTAAGCCCCTACAGAATACGATACCATACCCATTGTCTACGAGTAGCTTGCGTTACCGAGCCATGACCCATGACGTGGGTTTCGAGATTTCTCTACTACGAAGCTTAAGTACCGGCACCCCGCTATCATGCGGAACTAGGTACAGTACGGTACTGTGCACTGCCGGCTTCGGGGGGATTGGGGCCATAAGGTACAATCATTGGTCTCTGTCATTTTATGACTTGCGATACAAGACCCATATAATCCGTTACAGAAGCTACAAGTATCCCAACTATGATAGCAACCGTTTGGATCTGTTGGGTCCTGGTGTTGGATATCCTCAGAAAAATCCGTTCTCTAAAAGCTTACTCGAGTATTAAAAGAAAAATTGAGACCTATGATACTTGTTCCTGTATGAGATGATACAGGTTTCGCTTGGTGCTGGCTGGGAGGGCAAAGGAAATAATTTCCTTTTACCGACAATTAGGGAAATATTGTGCTTACTCATTGGGTGTTAAAGCCACCAGTTAGGGCATGTTATCAAGGGATTAAATTACGTTGTAGGTAGGTTAGCTACTCAGATAGTAAGGGGGCTCCCCCCGCCCATGTTTTGGTAGGCTGCCTGTATGGTAGTGCGACTAAATTAATCTCGATAACAGCTTTTTTTTTTTGTTTTGAGGTGCCGGGCTTCTGTTTGTTCGTTCCTCCGCTTGTTGGTGAAGCTCCGCTTGTTGGTGAAGCCCCGCTCAATTGATTACCGTATCATACTTCCCGCTGCTCCACCGATCTACCCCAGAGTCCCCCGGTTGGCCCTCCAAATCAGCCCCTTAACTTATCTGTATTCCTCCGCAACACTGATTTCATCGACAACAACACTGCTGAACCAAGCCCCTTCACGCTCGCGAAACGCAGCTCTACATCGCCTGACCCTCTCCGTCGTCCACGACAGTCATCAGGATTCTCATCTCTGTACGCAAGCCAAGGAACTGTTCTCATTATTCATCTTCACCTAGATCTGCCCTTCGCCGCCCTCTTCCAAACCCCACTGGGGCCGACGCATCATCAACTCGCTCCTTCTGCTAGCATTGTTTGAGTTTTTTTTTTTTGGCTATATGGTCCTGCACAATTGATTCGACCTTGTCACGAAAAAACGTTGCCATCGCCCTCGTCGCACCTTTTTACGTACCATTTTTTACCCTCCCTCTTAAAAGTGCCGGGTTTTGAGCTTAAAGCAGATCCTACGGCTGTTGCTCGGTGGTTTTGAGAATGAAGGGTTTCAGGCAGCGAGTGGGTGTATGTTCCTTCCGTGGTCTTTAGTTTTCGATCCCATTAGTATCCCCGTTACTCTCCAATTTTGGATTGTCGCTAATTAGTGCTTGCTCCAACTTGTTTGACTGTTTTACAGCTATCTCGAAAAGAGCCCAAGCCAAATAAGGGGAAGAAGGATTCACAGGGGAATTCACCCTCCTCTTCTACCAGCCAACTGATCCCATCTGTTTCCGGGTCTTCCAGTTTGGAGAAGAAAGGTGGTGGGAGCGGCGGTGGTTCTGAGAATGGAGATAAGGCCTCAGGTTACAAACAGCAAAAGGACTCTACAGCTCCGAGTATGGCACCAGCCGGCTCGCCCGGAGGAGTTATCAGCGCAGCGTCTCTAGCGGCGAACATTCAGCAACAGATAAATAATGCGACAAGTCCATCGGGGTCCCGGATAATTGCACCTTCCGTGATAATTAGCCCGTCCTCCGCTCCTGTATGTGCTTTAAGTTTCGCAATGATTGGCTGGTAATTTTTACTAATTGTCGGTATTTTTTTGTTGAAAGCATATCCCGCCTCCCGGTGCTGCCGAAACAATGCCTGGTGATCTAGTTCCGCCTAAGGCTGGTGCAAAGGGCGTCGCTTTTGATCGGCTACAGACCGCTCCTAAAGCAGATCAAATACCTGAAGGGCTCAAGACACCAAAGAGACAACATAGTTCTCGATTCGATATATCGGAGAAGAGAGAGTTGGAAAAATTACAAGCGTTTCACGGTATATTTTTCACCCTCCCCGTAACCTTTGGGTTCCGTACTGGCTTAGGAGTGGGTTGTTGACGGTTATGCGATGATAGAGATTCCACCCCAGCGGCGACAGGATTTGTTTTTGCAGAAGCTTGAACAATGCAATGTGATTTTTGATTTCAATGACGCCTCGGCCGATATGAAATCCAAGGAAATCAAGCGCCTTGCTCTCCATGAATTGCTTGACTATGTTGCTAACAATCGTTCTGTCATCACGGACGCGATGTATCCCAAAGTTGTCGAGATGTTTGCCAAAAATCTTTTCAGGCCCATCCCACCGCCTGTGAACCCTGTTGGCGATGCATTTGATCCAGAGGAAGACGAACCCGTATTGGAAGTTGCCTGGCCTCATATCCAAGTGGTATATGAGTTCTTTTTAAGATTCATTGAGAGTCAAGACTTCAACACCAACATTGCCAAGCAGTATATTGACCACCAGTTTGTCCTACAGGTTAGAATCCCCTTGCACTTGCGACTCGTCCCATTTGGGGGGGGTTGACGGGTCGCTGACACAAATCAAAGTTGCTTGAACTTTTCGATTCCGAAGATCCCAGAGAGCGTGACTTCTTGAAGACTACCCTCCACCGCATATACGGAAAGTTCCTTAACCTCCGGTCATATATCCGGCGCTCTATCAACAACGTCTTTTTCCAATTTATCTATGAGACTGAGCGCTTTAATGGGATCGCCGAATTACTAGAAATTCTAGGAAGTATTATCAATGGATTCGCCCTACCCTTGAAGGAGGAACACAAATTATTCTTGACAAGGGTTCTTATCCCACTTCACAAAGTCAAGAGCTTGAGTATGTACCATCCGCAGTTGGCATACTGTATAGTGCAGTTTTTGGAAAAAGATGCAGCGTTGACCGAAGAGGTTTGAAATTTCCTAATTCTCTCCTAGTTTTTTTTTCTCTAACTGTTTGATAGGTTGTTCTTGGCCTGTTGAGATACTGGCCCAAAGTCAACAGTACGAAGGAAGTTATGTATCTAAATGAGGTTGAGGACATATTCGAAGTCATGGATCCTGCTGAATTCGCTAAAGTTCAGGAACCACTCTTCAATCAATTGGCCAAGAGTGTGGCTAGCCCACACTTCCAGGTATGTGAAGCCTACAGTTGTGTTAAATATATACTGATGGATAATAGGTTGCGGAGCGAGCTCTTTATTTCTGGAATAATGAGTACTTTTGCAATCTGGTTAGCGATAATGTTGAGGTTATCTTGCCAATTATGTTCGCTCCTTTATATGAGAACTCAAAGGGTCACTGGAATAGGTATGCTCGTCGTCCCTGCCCATATAGTCGAACCCGACTTGTGTCACTGCCACCAGATTACTTATCCCACCATTTTCTATAGAACCATACACGGCATGGTATATAATGCCATGAAACTTTTCATGGAAATCAACCCAGCTCTTTTCGAGGAGTGCACTGGGATATATGCAGCGGACCAAGAGAGTGCCCCCCAAAGGCAGCACGAAAGGGAGGCTATCTGGAAGATGTTGGAAGATACAGCAGCTAAGAACAAGAAGTCCAGAGAGGGAAGTGGTGCCAACGAAGACGGTAAACGTTTGTCCTCTAAGGGTTCGCAAGCCGCCAGGAGTGGCTCCCCCATGCAAATAGCTGAGGATAGCGCTGGTGATAGTGAACGGAAAATGGTAGCGTTGAACATTCATGATGAGGGAAAGAAAGTGGTAGGTGTCGCTTAGGACCTCCATATTCCAGTTCTCCCCTTCCCCCCGAAGTAAGCGAAAACAGTGGCATCATTGGAGGAGAGCAAGCACACGGAATTTGAAAGAGCCTAAGTGGATCGCAAAGAGGCAGGGGCATTGCACATGTTTAGGATCATTCATTTTTTTTTTTTGAATTCCCCACCCCTTTTTTTTTCCTTTTTTTCTTCATCTCCTATGGCTATGAGGTTCTCCTTTACATTTCAATTCATTGTTACATTTTATTTATTCTTTTCTCTCTTCCTATTTTCTTTTCTTTCCTTGCCGCTCCCGCCACGTTATGAGCGCTGTGCAGCCTTCTGACTTGTCATGCCTAATATCAAAAAGAAACGACGCCAGATGTTTATTGCATCCCCACATACCAATCTTCATTACCATCACCAGCAACCTCAAAAACAACAATAATCGCAATCTCAACAGCCACCGTCGAAATCTCGCACAAGCGCCAGCAGCAGCGGAATGATCAACAACTCACTGAATTACCCTTCTCCATCGCCTGGAATACCGCGGCAATATAATAGCCTGCTAAAATTACATTATACATTCTTCTTTTTTTTTTTTTCATTTTCCCCTTTTACTTTTTTCTTCCGTTACTCTCGACGTCTTAGTTACCTGTTCTCCAGACAGTTGAGTAGCCGCTTACCCTTTCTTGTCTTATCTTCTTATCGCTTTACCCACTCGTTTTGTTTGAAATTGGCTCGTGAGTTTGGTTGTGCAGTGATATCAGATCGGTTGTCTATTGCTGTCGGTTTTCTCTTTACTAGAATGTGATGTTTGCTGGGTCGTGTGCGGTGGCAGCGGTGGTAACAGTGACGGAGCATGGGATGTAGGGTGATGGGGGCAACGCAAATAAACCTGGTGTTTTCTTTTTTTTTCTTTTTCTTCACTCGGTCATTTTTACCTTGTGTCCCTTTATTGATTGTCATGGTGGGTTCAAGTCAGGAGGGGGGAGGAGTGGAGAGACGAAGGAAGGAAGGTGGTGTTGCATGCTTTACTTACTTGCTTGGGAGGTTTTCATGTCTTGTCACTCGAACGAAAATATATCGCTTTGCTTTTCTGGTGTTTTGTTCAGCCTCTGCTCTGCCATCCCTCATGTTTCCAGAGAGGGGGGAGGGGTGATAAGTGGCTATGAGATTTGCTGCTAAATAAGTGGATGAATGGAAAAGGTGAATGGACTAGCCTTCGGGGCATTATACTGTATGCTTGCCTGCCGCTGCTCAAGCACGTTATTCATCCTTTCCAGTGCGTTCTCCCACCGCACTTGTCTCAAGTTTATATCATGCCAGAAAGGTTACATCATATCCATTTTCATTCGCGCAAATCCAGCCAACCAGCCAACCAGCCAACCAACTGGCCGCCCAGTGTCGGCAGCGGACAGCAGGGTACACACATCAAGGCACCACTTCCCAATCCAACACAAATCCAAATGCCAAATCCTAGACTCCAAAGTGCCCTTCATTGCCATGATGCGATGTGACACGGCGTAACGGAGCATGATGTCATCACAGATCCGCAAACAACGGTCCGGGAGCGCCAACCCCCCCTACACTCCCAAACACACCCATATAATATCCAAAGACGTCTCCCGGTTTCTTTCCAAAGTTTGCTCGCTCCTTGCTCTCGTTCTTTCTTTCTTTCTTTCATTCCCTCCTTCCTTCTTTCCCTCCTGCACAACTGTGTCGCATGTCGCATACTTAAACGAGCACTGCACCAGGCTGTCAAATATACCGACCGGATCATTACGATACACCATCACTCACTTATCTACCCTACCCTTACCTACCTATAATACTTACTTACCTACTTATTTTACTTATTTACTTATTTGCCCCCCCACGCAGTCAAATTAGAATTAAAACTCGCAGACCCGGTCACTTGACCGCCTCATCCGTAATCACGTTTTCTCACTCGTTGCGGGTGTTGTTTTGCTTCTTTCTTTTTTTGGGCAGGCGGGCGGGCTCGTAGCAGCGTACCGCACCAGCGTTTAGAAACACGGCCGCTACTGCATACCGCTGGAATTCTGCTTTTTTTCTTTTTAATTTGCTTTTGCTTTTTGCTTTTGCTTAGATCCAAGTTTCATGCAATGATGGTCGTCTTCATAAAACGGGGGGTTTTTTTCTTTAAAAAAAAGGGGGGGGGACGAGTAGAATAGAGTACTTGTACCCGTAGAGTGGGGGGTTTGGTGGTTCTTCCGGATTGCGGTAGGGCACTCACTGCGGGGCTGGGGCAAGCTTCAGTTACTGTACGGTACTTTGTCGTCGCCGAGAACCGGATTGGAAATTTGTGCGTTGCTAGTTGTTCGCACACTTTTTTTCGTCTCCCGATCATTGGGTCTGGTGGGGGAATGTGCGTCTCTTTTTTTTTTCTTTTCTTTTTTTCATCTTCGGATACTCGTGCTCATACGATGTACAAGTTAGTGTGCGATTCTCCGTTTCGTGAGTTGGCAACTCGCTCAGTGCTTGTAGGGGGTTTTTTTTTTGCTCGCTAGTATGATGGAAGCCAGGCCCGGCATCACGCTTCAGGTTTGCGCTTTCTTCCCGGTGAGGCTGACTAAAAGGGCTCTTGTTGGTGCTGTCGAGTCCTCGGGTGCTCGAGTAATTGGTCAACTGAAAACTCGCGGGGTGTGTTTCGGAGGGACGTTCCGGTAGGTTCGGGCACTCAATAGGCTACCATGCTGGAAGTTGCAGAGGTGATAGGCAACAAATCTTGCCTTACTGTACGAGTACAAGTGCGGTGCAATAAGCATCAGGCCGATGGGGGCTGCCGAAAAAAAGAAAAAAGAAAAAAAAAAGAAAAAACAAACAGGAATGTAGCTATTAATATCTATGGACGAGGGTCGGTTAATCTGGTATATGCAAGCCCTCAACAGTTATTATCATTTCGTACAGTACAGTAATGCTCAAGCTCTATGCCGCGATAGAATACGATGAGAGAAGAAAAACATTGCTCGCCAATCCATAAAATTTCCGGGTGCAGGAGTGCCAAGGCCTTGCCTTTTTACCCACAAATTCAAGGGTCTTGGCACCGCCTTTTCCGGGTGCTTTACTGATTGGCGGGTAGTCTAAGGTGCCGATCTATGCCTTGTATCCATTCCCAAGCTTCATATTTCCAGCCTTCCTGCTCAGGTCGTGTGTGTCAATAATGGTAAGGTTTTTGGTCTCACCGAAACCATTGTACCCGACTCCCCTGAAGTTCCACTTTATGTCCTCGACTTTCTGGATGTTACCGGCCTTGTCAGTGGCTCTGCTCCATATTTTGGTGGATTTGTCGATCTTTCTGGTCTTTTCGGCGGGGAGCTTGTATTGCCAGATTGCCCAGGCCCATTTGTACTTTTCGGCAGCACCGGATCTGCATAGCTCTTCTGGGTTGGGATAGAGAATCCTAGATTCATCCCAGGTTTTGCCTTGGTCTGTCGAAATTTCCACCTTAACGACCGGACCATCGTCACCCTTAGGAAGCGCGTATCCGGCAATTTCCAGCTCGCCATTAATGAGTTTATCCAGGAAGATGGTGTCACCGGCAGTCGGGTAGCAGATCGCCGAGTTAACGGGCATCTTTTGCAGTGGTTTGGCTTTATGCCAGTAGTCATTCGCCTTCTTGCGGGTGTCGATCTCAGGGGGTAGAATCTTGTAGTCTCTCTGCATGTAAAAGTTGCTGCTTTCTTCGTCCTGAATGGTAATGCGGTCTAGCCATTTGGTCCAGCGCGCACCAGCAATTCCCGGAATCACGATGCGGAGAGGAAAGCCATGATTGATGGTGAGAGGAGCTCCGTTCATCTGTCGGTAGATTGTGTCAGCATTCCACCGAAATGGTCGGATCAGGGTAAGGTAAGACATGCATCCAGGGCCAGAATGACTTTCATTTCTGGGTCCATGCACCGGGCCAGGCTTATCGAACTCCCGTAGTATCTGTCCTCTTGGCAATCCGTCATGTGGCAAGAGAAGGCTACATGTGCATCACCTTCCATAGTAAGTCCTATCCGGGAAAGGACGTCGCACAAGAGCGGGCCACTCCAAGTGCAATTGCATACAGCTCCGTCGTTCCAATCTATGCCGTCTACCTCTTTTAATTCAGTACGCATGGTATGTCTGCGATTTCCCGCACACTTGAATTGCAGTGTTAGCTGATGGCAATTAGGAGGGGGTGTGTTTGCGTAGAGATTCACCTGTAGAGCAGAAATAACATCATGTTGAGGGAAATCATTGCGGAGCTGGGAGATGGAGAGGTGGACGGTATCTTTCACGAGGCCGTCAATGCGAACCGTGTGGGTGTCGCCATTGATATGAGGGAGTGGTCTGGAATAGGGTGGGTCAGAATTCACTACGGTAGCTGAACGCAAGGGAGTGGTTACCCATGATTTCTGTCATAGGCGGTGGCGGTCTTGGTGATGAAGTTTTGAACAAGGTCTTTCAATGGAGGCTCACGGTTGAGAGGCTTTTCGACGCTGTATTCGAGCTGTAAATAGTGGGTCAGCTTTGCCATCAGTGTACTGTACATATCAGGGATTAATTAGGGAGAGCTAACCAGCATCACTAGCGAGGATTTGGAGAGGTGCTGGGTGAGTAACGGGAATAATTGAGTTAATTGAGGAAGACAACTAAAGAAATAAGGGGAAGGTAGGAAGAGGAGAAGGAGGGAGCGGATGGGAAGGAGCAGTACGCAGATCCATCGGGACGGAAAGTACTGAAGTACGGTTGAAGCACGAAACCGTGTATGAGTACATTCACGCTTTAGAACTTGAGACCGATGCAAACCGAGGGTTAGCAATCACGAGGTGCAACCCGACAGAAAAAGACCCCGAAAGAGGGTTAGGCTGAGGGAGGCTTGGGGGGTATCGAGGAAGAATGGAGGAATAGAAGCACAGTGAGTTGTCTGCTATCGTATGATACCAGTGTGGCCTTTCTGACTCGAATCCTGCCTCTCTCTTCCTTTTCTGTGTAGCAAGTTCGTACGATACGTATTTTCATGGAACTGAATGGGGGCTGGGACGTTTTCTTCGAACTGCCGTGTAAATAGAATCTCCTTTCCTGTTAGCTGCCACCTGCCATGAGCTGACATGCCTTTTCCTCCTTGAATCCTCCATCCCTTTCGCGACCATCAAGTCCGTGAGATTGGGCAACGGGAGAAGGCGTGGTGTCTCTTCTCTTCACTAATTTTCTTCCAAGGAAATTTTGTTTCCAGTGTTTTGCCGAGTTCACCGAGTTCGCAGGGTAAGGGCCGCCGGGTAACGAAGGGAGGGATCAGGATGGCAGGATCTCGACAAAATGCTTAGATCCCGTTAGTCTGAGCCAGGATTCCATGAGAATTCAATTTGCCTGATATGGTATCCCACGCCTATCGCTTCCTTACCCGCTCTACTCGAGTATCTGGGATCGGAAACTCGTAGCGTGTGGGGAGTTAATCGTGGAATCTTTTCCCCTTGCGGTCGATTGAACGGTTGAGGTGGGATGAAACACAGGACCCCGCGTTGCCCTCGGATGATAAGGTATGGGCTGAAATATGGATAATAGAGCGAGGGGTACATCTTTTGCAATTATACCGGCTACAGGAGGGGATGGAGAAGGGGCTGTGGTTGTGGTTGTTTGTTTAGCGCCTCGATTGTTGAGGGGTACCATCGTCAGACTGGGAGTGCCGTGATGGATAATAAATACACTTGCTATGTGGATGTATGGGTGATCCAGGATTGGTAATATGCAGATATGTGGTTGGTAAAGGGGGGTGTGCAAGTTGGGTATGCGGGGGATGCTCATAAAATTGACAAGCATCCATTGGATTCTGGGTCGAGTCGACTTTGTCCTACTCGACACATCCTCGCTCTCGTGGAGATACTTTGAATTTGTCTGCACTCAATGTCGTAAGCTTAAGTTACCCACCGGTGGTGTGATAGCGGGCGAATTCTAACACCGGTACAGGGTCTAACTTAGGATATCACGGCCACTTTTGGTGATGCTATCTCGACCATTGCGGGACACTGCAAAGGCATGTATCCTTTGTGGCTCTTACGATCGTTTGTTCTAACTGATGAACTAGGAACCTAATTTTCACCATGCGGCGACTGGAGCTTCTGTGACCTCCCTACGAAACCGCTCTTTGAGCCCTGCCTATGCCCCGGCGCCCTCTACTCCTATGCGGTTGACTGGTATGTCGGATATCCCCCATCACATACTCGCCATGTGCGGCTTAGTGGTCAGTGAATCCGTCTACCGTTTGGGTAGATGCTTTGCTGAGTTTAGCAAGGTCGGCTAGACATTCGTACGGTGTGGATGGAAAAGCTTCCTCAGAGCAAGCATACAAGAATGTCCCGCTCTATCTCGCCGGGTGGAAGCGGTACACCATCTACGAGCCCTGGCCCTAAAGAGATAAGAAAGTATATCGCATGGAAGGGAAAACCGGTTCCATCATGGAGTTTCGGTTTGTGGTTGAGCACGAGTTCTACCACAATCTACGATGGGGCTACAGTGAGCAGCCTCTTTGACGGAATGAAGGAAAGGGATTCCCATGCACACCTTCCACCATGTGAGCTTTTCTGCAGCGCCCCGGTTTTCTTGCCCTCCCTTCCAACTATCCCTAAGACAGTTTTCGACTCCGTGACGAGCGACCTAGTCCCAAATTCTACGTCCGGATAAGTCACTATCTTGGCGATACCTCATAAATCTTTGCCGAAGCAGTCGAGTGTCGGTATCTCGTCAAGAGGCCAAATAGTGACCTCTAGGAATGGGGATCTTTGATAGTCCAGTATGTGGTTGGAAGACCTTACTGCACAAACCCCGCCGTGCCATGAGCAGCGCGTGAAGAAAGAAGGTTGAAACCCTCTTTGGAGCCGGCTGTACCGACTGCCCTCAAACCTAACCTCTGAGAGTGAATCCCAGTCCGTGATGCTGCGTGGCATGGCAAGTCATTCACGATTCCTACTTCTTGTATAATAAAGTTATCTACTCATACGAAGCGATAATTTACAAACGTGGCCCGACGGTATTGTTTGCGGGGGCTATTATACTAGTATACGACGGGGACACAGACGTTCCCTCTAGAGCGGGAATGTAGAATACAAGAGCACCATTGAAACTATGACACCGAAAGTCTCGAGGGGGGGAAGGGATCAACCCTGTGTATTTCCAGCTTTGCCTATCATACCATCATACCGTAGAGTTATGAACGTTTGGGTTCTCTATGTTGAAGGTTCTGGATGGATGGGGCTGGATTGGTGTTGATTGTGGAAGGTTCGGCAGTGTGGCAGCAAGTTCAGATGTTTCATGGAATAGTGTAGAGGCTCAGAGATTGATAGGAGAGTTTCATTAGACATGTCTTTCCTTTGTTATCATGGAAGCATATGGATGGAAGCATATGGAGGAAAGAGCAGTTTGCATGGAGAGATAGTGAAAGGTGTGGTGATCGATGGAAGGATCAGGATTCATTGTCTTTACTATTAGTTTGTTGTAGTGCGAAGGAAGTTGTGTTTTTACCTTACCTCTCATTCTTATTCCTCTACTATCATACCACAGTTCTCCACATATTTTTTTTTAGTCATTTCCGCTGCGTGACAGGCCATCCGTTACTATCCACATTAACACTCCAAGGATCCAACGCACCGGGTCGGCATCTCGACCGCTGATATAATACGATACATACTAGATAATACACCGTACTGCTTCTTGAATGCAGAGGGAGAATTCCTAGTCCTCCAGAAGGGAAATAATGGCCGAATTTCTTCGATGGGAGGGGTTGGAGAGGGGCACGACGTGCACTCTTTCTCAATTATATATATATATATATGTTCGTGGGGGGGGGGAAGGCGAGAAGTGTTGGATGGATTCAATGGATGGATGGGTAAAAAAGGTCCGCGCAGGCACCACCTTTTGGCAAAGAGCCAACTACTGTAGGTTAGTTAGTCACATATCATAGTTATGATACGAGTACGGTACGGGTAGACATGTAACCCATCACATATTGTCACTCGAATATAAAGTAGCGGTAGGTAGGTAAGTAGGTAGGCAGGCAGCAAATAATTATCATTTGGTGGTTTCCAAAAGCGTGAGTATCATATCATATACCAATTCAATTTCCCGCAACACACACACGGAGGAGGTGAGAACAAGAAGAGGAAAAGGCGAATGAAATGAAATAAAAAAAAGGCGGGGGGGAAAGGGGAACGGACCCACACAATAATACCGATAACCAGATCATCAACAGCAGCGGCAACCCCAAACAAACAGATAGACAGACAGACGGACGGACGGACAACCCAAAAGAGTGTAAAGGGGTGGAAAAAGGGCCCCAAGTGAATTACCAAACAATCCCCCAAAACAAGAATACCATCTCCCACAACCAGCCCATCCCGATCGTGCCGATAATCGTCCTCACCCCACCACTCTGACCCGAGGAGGAGGAGTCGCTATTCGAACCCCCGGTGGGCGAAGTGGTAACCTTGGGCCCGCCCTGACCCCCGGTGCCCGTCCTGTTGCTGGTGGCGTTGGTGGTACTCGTAGCGTTTCCTGTGATGATGGACCTCCCCGCGGAGCCGGTAGCGGTGGCGGCGCCGGTTCCCCTAGACATGGTGTCCCAACTGCCGAAGCTGAAGCCGGCCGAGCCCGTCCCGCCCGGGAGGGGCGCTGGCGTGTTCGTGCAGGAGCTGACCGGGGGCGCCCTCCCCGCAAAGCTGGCGAACTCCGCGCACGTGTTCGACGAGCACACGGCCATCAGGCTGCGCCAGTTCTCGGAGCAGGGGGCCAGTTCCTGTGGGTTATCGAGGAGGACGCACATATTGCAGGTACCGAAGCCTGTGGGGTCATCGCTGGTTTGGGAGGTTGCTGGGCTTATCTCCAGGAGGAGTAGGAGGAGGAGATGGAGGAGGATGGTTGGTATGCACTTTTCGTACATTTTTATTATTATTATTTCTTTCCTTTTCTTTTTTTTTCTTTTTTCGAGTCTCGGTGGGTGAGTGACGACTTATGCTCGAGGTGGGTTGGGGTTGGGGTTGGGGTTGGGAAGAGTTTGGGAAGGGGTGGGAAGGGAAGAAGAGGGAAAGGAAGGAACGAAGGATGAGGGAGGGCGAGGGGGGCAGTGTATATATCTTGTCACGACAGCTAGGAGTAATACTCAATTGCACGAGGGAAAGAAAAGAAAAAAGTGCAAGCCTTCTACCCCGTCACTGGACCACGATTCTTGATGGGTGCAAGAATAGAACGAATAGACTTTTGCGTTACTCTCCTGCGGCTGAGTTTTGCACTCGTCGAGCCATTACAAAATATTCCATCGTCGACTACAACGGTGTACCACACCAACATCCGGTCGATAACCTATCATAGGATAGGATGGTGCTCGCGTCCGGGTGGATCCGATGACGAGTACTCGTACAGCTTCAATCTTTTGGAGTCAGTTGAGGGGCACAGTGGGGCGGCTTCTCAAGTGCAGTATTGGCGAGGCTTTGCGAAGTATTGTGCTGTACTCGAGTACAATACTGTACAAGTACCATAGCTTGGAGCTTCTCGTCCGTCTCATTTGTTCCATCTCCTCGCGTACCCCACCCCCATTCCTGTACAACCGACCACCAGGCTTTTTCGAAAAGAAAAAAAAAGGTAAAAAAAAAGAAATAAAATAAAATGCAGCTAAGCAAAATTTAAACACAAAAAAGGTTGTGAAAACAAGGCGGGGGAGGGGGGGAAAGAGAAAGAAATACATTCAAAAGTGCAAAAAACTGTCTCAGAATTAAATTATCCACATTTAATCTTCAGCACATCTTCATCCCACATTAAATTCATCTTCATCGCCATTACACCTCCTCCCTTCTCGACCTGACTGGGTTTCTTTTCTCTTCCTATTTATCGTTACAACGCGTACAACGCCAACCCAGCAACACCCATCACGGCCTGAAGTGCGAACCCGGGAGCGATGGCACCAGCACCAGACCCATCCCCAGTAGTGGGGGGAGGTGTGGTGGTGGGACTACCGGCAGCGCCAGCACCATCGGTAGTAGTAGCTCCACCGCCAGCGCCATCGGTGGAAGTCGAAGTCCCGGATCCACTGGCGGCACTGGTAGTAGTGGTAGTAGCGGATCCGCTTCCAGTTCCGCTCCCGCTAGTGGCAGCACCGGCGCCGGTAGTGGTAGCGGATCCACTCCCGCCCCCGGTTCCAATAGCACCAGCACCGGCACCGGAAGTGGTGAGCGATGTGAAGGTCGATCCGTCGGAAGTGAAGGTGGTGATCGCAACAGATGAGGCGGGGGCCGGAGTGGTTGACTGGGGGGAGCTCGGTGCGCTAGAGGGCTCCGAGGGAGCGGACGAAGTGGCGGAGGCCGGCGGGGATACGCTCGTTGCGCCCGGGGCCGAGGTCTGGATGTTGGCTACACTGCTGCCGCCGGCACCGCCCGCAGCGCAGCGGGCGTATGGGTCACCATCGTAGCGGAAGTTGCAAGGGGCGGATTGGCAACTAATCATTCATGACGTCAGCGTTTCGTTCTTTTTTTGGCCGAAGGGGGTTCGATTTTGGGTCGTAACGAAAAAAAGACTAATTGTGCCTTATAGTTATGAGGGTGTTGGGGGAAACTCACTCTCCGATAGCGCCCTTCCATGCCGACGAGCAGACCGTCAGCAATGTGTCGAGTTGTCCGCACTGAGAACAATAGTCTGGTGCATCCTGGGCGATGGCCGAGGCTGCGATTCCGGCCACGAGGGCAACGATTGAGGTCCTCATTCTCGATACTATTTGTTTGTGATGGTGGTGGTGGTTTGAAGAGGAATCAAGAAGTGGTGGTGATGGTACCGTAGTGCTTCTGATGGGACCCGCTCAAGAGGGATGGTAGAGGTATGATGGCAGTGAAGGGGGAGGATGAAGGCAGCAGACTGAGAAGCAAGGGAAGGCGTGGGAGGGGGGCAGATTTAAGCACCGGATCTTGCAGGAGGGATGACGAAAACCGGGTGTGTGTGCAATGGAGTGGGAGTGGGTGTCCGGGTGGAAAGAAAGGCACACACAAAGCCTGATAGGGACTCGTGCGAAACACGTATGATAACCTAATAGTCTACAGGACAACTCGAGGAGGAGGGACAATGTACATATCATACCAAGTATCATACTCGAGTGCTCTGGCTGCACGCTGGCTGGCAAGAGGGAAGAATAAATGTTGAAATAATGATGACAAAAGCTACCGGGAACAGATCTTGCCTCCAGCTGCAATGATCTGGCTAGAATGGAGGAGAGCGCCGGACATGGAGCGATTTGGGAATATGTATGATGCTTGACTGTGCCGAGGGTTTGGGGAGGTGAGGGAGAGAATAAAAATAAAGATGAAGGCCTTCCAAGTGTTGTGAACCGGTTTGATGGGATCAATCTGTTGGGGTGTAGAAACCCGCCGAACGAGAAGAAACTCAGCGGGGCTATATCGGGCTGGACTCTCCACCACCACGTCCGTGCCGGTGCATTATAGGATACAGATTAATCCTTGGAGTTGGCGGTGCGGGTGTGGGAAGAAGGGAGACATCCCTCTCCTTCTCCTGGTCACTCGGTCACCCTGTTCCTGGCACAATTCGGTACTAAGGCGGTGGGGAGTTTCCACTGGAGCACGCCTGCCAATTATCTTTTGTGCAGGAATTATTGTTTTCACCTGCCCATCACCACCGACCGACCCATCCACCACAACAGCACCCATCCCCACCTCGCTCGAAACACAACACAACAGACCAGAAGGAAGGAGGAAGGGGAAAGAGAGTCCGAGCCCTTCAATCCCATTGGTCCATCCGAACCAAAACACAGTCCAGTGGGACATGGTACAGTACAATACCACGACGTGCCCTGGGCAGTGGGCGCCACATGGTACGAGCACCGGTACATACAATTGGCAATAGCAAGCATACATAGTACGCACGCATCCGTCCATCCATACCCTCACCACGAGTGGCAAAAGGAACAAATAATACCGGTGGGCCAAGTAGCGGTGGATCATCATGGCCGAAATCCCTCCTACATACTGGTATCCTATTGTATATACCGCATCATCTGGCGAGAGCCGGCGACTCTTCTACCTCGATATAAGAAGCGGCTGAGGTGACACTTACCATTGCGTCAATATTAGAGGCCGGAAAGGTTTAGTCCCGGCTATGCGGGGTTAGGGTACGAGTACCGGTATGGCGTATCATTGCAATTTGGAGACAAAAGCAGGAATGGAGATCTCGTTCGAACATGCTAGCGCTCGGCGGATTTCGCTGGATAACGCCGTACCGGTCTTCCTGCGGAAGCTATGATAGGTTCTATAAGATCCCCCTTCCTCCACCTAGGGAGGAAAAAAAAAGAAAAAGGGGTTTGAGCCAGTCAAGAGGGGCCAGCTTCGCGACGTTGATCCGAATCACAAACACAATCAAAATTTCAATTACTGGAGGCTGGGGAGCCAGCCGCCCCCCACGCCAATTATCCCCGGCGATAGTCGCCCTTGCGCTGTACGGTGCTGTACGAGTACTTGGTCATCGTGGGCACAGTGCCCGAGCAGGCAACAGACAACGTTCAAATCAAACTTGCGTCTTCCCCAGCTTTACGATACAGTACAGCACAATCTGGAAGATGCGCCCTGCGCGAGAGAAAAAGAAAAGAGAAGGGGAGGAAGGGAGGAGATCAACTAATCGCTCCGGAGATTACACCTCGATTCGCGAGACTGCAGGGAATTCCTAGGGATGTGCTTGGGTGCGAGGGTGGGAGAGAGAGATGTGTTGTTTTCTTTCCTCTCGTCACTGTTGTTTTGGGACGTTGGGGACTGCGCAGACCAGCTCCCAGCCAGCCCGTTGAGGTATGATACGTTACGGCTTACAGCTTGCAGGTGCAGTACCGGTACGGTATGATACCCTTCTTTTCCCTCTCCCTTTGCTTCGCAGGTTCCCCAGCCAGCAATTCCCGATCAATAGCGTGCCGCAGGATAGCCTACCGGTACTCGAGTACCGTACTCATGTCTCCTGTGCCCCGTCATACCCGTGTGTTATGTAAGCATAAGCGACATGCACCAGTAATATCGCGAACAGGGCGACCATGCCGCGCAACTGATCTCCGTGACGTCCTCACTGTGCACCGCCCACTTTTCTTCACTTCCCCATTCAACCACCCGTCGTCCTGCTCGGGTTGGGAACAACGGACGTCCCAATCGGGCTTCCGTGGCGCGCTAGCCCTTTCTATCCCGATTACCGGCATCGCGCACGGCTACCAAGGTGCTGCACGCTGCTTGTACTCGTGCGGGTAAATTACCGTGCACTCAACTCTCTCGACTGCTCGGTTGCTCTACCGTAGTCCACATGTGGTGGGAGAGAGTTAGGTGAGGGAGCGGATGCCACGGGTCGGCGTCAAGTTGGCGTCACAAGTTGGTTACGTAAGGTTATATGGTTGTTAGGGTGCTGGTGGTTTGTGGTGTGTGGGCGCGGGCTGGCCGGAACGGAGTGGGGGGAGAGTGGGAATTGGATTGGATTGGGATGGGGCGGGGCGGGATTGTGCAGGGTGGTTGTTTTCTTCTTTGTTTGTTGTGGGTTTTTTTGTTGCTCTGCTGGAATAAGTTCTTCTATTATGGGGATGCATGGTGGGGGGCTGGAGGGAGTTTGAAAGTTGGGGTTTCTGCAGCGCGTGTAGAGTTGGCTGTGGCACCGGTGATGGTGAAGTATGGGTGTAACTTGGTGAAGTATCATATGATACATAAGTTAGTGCCATTAGGTGGGTATAGTTTGGGTACTGCACAAGCTGGGGAGATATAGAAGGAAGGAAAGGCAAACCGAACAAGTGCTCGTCTGAGAGAAATGATAATAATACGTTGTATCATGCGATTGGTAGACGCTTACCGCTGAAAGCACCAGCGACCCCAAGCCCGGACCCATGGCGATATCATGGACGATAAATACGGAAACTGGATGTCTCCCCCATTGAATAGACTAACTCTCCTTTTTACGCAAACACCGGGCCTTGCTCAGAGTGGTTCGCTGCCACTTCCATATCCCCAGCCCCCCCACCCCACACGAACATTACACGAACGAACGAACTAACGAACGAGCCAACAAAGAGGATACGATGCTCAGGAGATGAAGCGCCCCGGTATCCTTTTCCCCATCCTCGTATCCTACGGCCCTAAGTCGAGCATTCAGACTCTGCCCTGCTGTGTCTACAGACGGAAGAGTGAGTGAGCGAGTGGCGGACGGATCGGGATGGGGCGGGCTAGGGATCGACACAGGGAAAGTAGTGCCCGCTGGGGCGTATCAAGCTCGGGCTGCACATTCATGAACCTTCCGTCTCTTGTGATGGCAGGGACAGTCTAACCTAGTGTACGAGTAGCTTGCGCTTCAATTCCAGCACAGTACTAGTACTGCACATCGATCGACCTTCCCCCCACCGCCGTGTCCTTTCTCCCCCTCCCGTAGCGACGGCACAAATCTTCCCACTTGCACGGGTCTAATCCTTCCTTACACACCCCCTGGCCTGCCACTTGAGTGTCCCTGTAACCTCTACTTTGACGAACCCCTGCTGGTGGAACTGGCCTGCCTCGCCGCGCACAATGTCCTCGAAGCCCAGCGTACCCATGGCGGCGTCCGGGTGAGGCTAGGCGTCGGTCAGCTCTGCCCAGGCGGTTTGACTTTGTACTTGCTCCCGCAGGGTGGTAGAAAGCCTATCGGCTCCAGGGGACCATCATGTGAAATGGGAAAGACGGGAGAGTGGGTTTGATAAGGGACTGTGGGGCGGAGGTTCGGTGTGGAGGTGGGTTGGGCATGCATGCCTGTTTTGTTTTAGGCCTCCGTCATGGATTATCACTCGGTCACTCCGACAACAGGAAGAGCTACCTTACGTCGGCGCTGTATTTCATGGGGAAATCGGCGCCTAGTACGTAGACTGCAAGGAACCGCCCACCTAGCCGTTCTCTGCCTCTGCTGCGCCTTCCGAAAAGCGTGCGTCGTGTCTACCGCTGGGACTATTCGGGGACTATCCGGTAACTACAACAGGGTGGCTGCGGTGCACCTAGTGCTGCGGTATTGCGAGTTTATCTGTGGCTTTCCGGCAATTTGGAGTGTGTTGGCGGGATAGGTTCATCTGACTGTTGGATGGGTGCTGTGTAGGCGCGTGGTTTACGTTACCATTCGGAAAAAGGTGTCCCCCTAGCGCAAGGTGGATGGGCCCGGGAGGAGCTGAAGAGGGAGAAGTATTTGGTGGATATTCTTGAGACATTGAACAAGTCCCCCTTTATCCCCTCCTTTCCTATCTCTATTACTAAATTGCTTGCAGAAGGCTCCTACGCAAATCCACTCCCCCAGCCACCCTTTACGCCCTCTCCTTTGCTATTTGCCACATAACCTCTCTCCCCACTTCCATGACGCACTTCTTGAAAACCTATCTATTCCTGGGCGTGCCTGTCCTGATAGTCACCGCGAAGGAATGGCAAACGATACTAGCCACAAATAAAGTCCTAGCACGCTTCTCGGTAGGAGTGCCCGACACGTGGGCTTTCGAAAGGCATTTCCGGGCGGGATTGGGTTCGACACAGGGGGCTGGGGAGGGGGCTTGGAGAGGTTTGTTTTGTCAAGGCATCCTTCCCCCCCGCCCCCCTTTGATCGGCTGGGTTTGTCTTTTAGTTATGGGTGATGTAGGCTAAGAATATGACCCGCTTGGAAAATTTTCCTTCACCACAGCCTTAGAGGTCGGATTTGTTGATGGGATCGGGGGTTGACTCTGCCATGTGCCCGTGCGGGGTGAGACGT